CCAGGACGGCGCCGAGCCAGATGAGAACCAGCGCAGCCAGGAGCCGCTCGCTGACCAGATGCACGCGGGGATTCCGGGACGTCCCGCGGCCGGCACCGCTGCAGCGGGAGCGAACGGCAGCGCGGCGATCAAGAAGCTGTCGGGGCCTCTCATCTCTGGTAAGTATCTGGCGGCCCCGCCCCGGTCCAGCCCGGCCCCGCTTTGTCCGGCTGGCCGGTCTCTCCCCAGCCCTCGGGGGCCTCTCCTGGTCCCCGCCTCCTCCCGTGGCATTAAAGGGCCCGCAGCGCGAAGGGCGCGGCTGAGTCCGCAGCCCCTCCTCGCTGGTCGGTGGTAGTCTCTAGCGGATCGAGAGTGCGCGACCGGGGGCTGAGCCCGGTCCCGACCCTGTCAGAGCGAGGGTTTCGGCCCCGGCCGCAGGAGTCTGTCCCAGGCGCGTCGGGTGCAAAAATCGCGGCGCCGAGGGGGTTAAGTGCGGCGGCAGCCCCGGGGGGCTTGGCCGCGGGACAAGGGGAAATGCTTACACAGCACATTGCGCGGCGACGTAAACAAAGCTGACCCGCCGCGGACCTCGGCGCGGGCGGGGACGGCGCCCCCACCCCAGCCCGAGCGCCCCGAGTCTTTTCCCGGCCCCCTCTCTGGGTTCCCGTCGACCCCGCCCTGATCCGCCGCGCGATGTCGCCAGCAGATTTCTTCGCCAAGCGCAAGAGATCTGCGCCTGAGAAGTCGTCGGGCGATGTCCCTGCGGGGTGTCCCTCTGCTAGCGCGGCTCCTGGGGTGGGCGCCGTGGAGCAGACCCCGCGCAAGCGTCTGCGATGAGTTAGGTGAGTCCGGCGCCACCGGGGGCCGCGGAGGGCCACTCCGCGGGGTCCCCGCAGTCTTTGCTCACAGTTCCCTCTCCTTTCCAGTTTAGAGCCCTGAGAATTCCTGGGCGGCGGATGTTGGAAGACAGCTGGGCCTCGGCTGGGACCGTACATGTAGCAGCAACCCGCGGCGGCTGCCGCAGAGCAGCGATTGGCTTCGTGTTTAAAAATCTGAAACGTGTGCAATGTGTAATGACGTCTCTATATCAAGATGTATTCTGCACAGGAGTACACTGGTCCCAAGGTGTAAAGCTTTAAGAGTCATTTATATAAAATGTTTAATCTCTGCTGAAACTCTGCAAAAAAAAGAGAAAAGTATAAAAAAAGTACAAAAGAGAAAAAAGAAAAAAAAAGGATAAAAAGAAAAAAACCCATGTATATTTGTACAAAAAGTTTTTAAAAGTTATACTAACTTATATGTTCTATTTATGTCCGGGCATGGGCATCTCCATCATACCCTGCCCGGTCATTGGTCATGCCAAAGGCACTGTATCTCATCCTTCTCAGTTATCCACAAATGTAAATTGAATAGCGGGCTTTAGGGGAGGGGGGGGGTCGCTCACAAATTAGCTGCCACACATATGCACCTAGCTTGCAGCCTTTTCACGCTTTTGCTCTTTTATAATCATTGTATTTTAAACTTGAAGACAAATCTGTTAAACATGGTTCCCGAGCCGTTTGTACCACTGCCCCAGCTCCACATCCGTCAAATTCTAAATAAAGAGGCCAAAAATGCTGCACCTCCAGTCTACTGTGCTTTTACGATCGTGCTCCCCCCAAAGCTGGGGACATAGAACACGGGGGGAGGGGCGCGCGCAAACACTTGGCAGAGTAAAGCCTGTTGAAGAGGGAGGGGCTTCCTCCTGGTTGGCACACTCACCAGCTTCAGCCCTGCATTTTGGGCTTGAAGACAAATGTCCCAGTTGATGACTTCCCCTGCTCCAAGGAACCACTAATGGGTACCTGCAGGGATTGGATAAGACCCTACACTGCTGACTGCAGTGCCCTTGGGGTCCTTCGGGTCCTTCTCAAAGTGGAGCCCCAACTCTCCCCAGTTTCATGGGACAGGGTGCCCCAAGAATGGGCCACATTATGGCCTTGGTGGAAGAAAAGCAGGGCAATGACAAGGGGAGTATGGCCTGTGAACAGGTCGGGGTGGGACAACTCAAGGCTCCGTCACCTGCGTCCATCACACTTGCTGGGCACAGCAATGGCCTCCTGGTTTCAAAGTGCTCCATTTGATTCAAAAGGGGAAGTTTATTTTTTTTATAGCTGATCTATAAACCTCTGAAAATCGGCTCACAATGGAGAGGGTGATGGGACACAGCAAAGTCAGACCCACAGCGGGTTCTGCTGGTGCCCTGAGGGGGGAAGGGTAAGCAGTGGGCATGATGGGCTGCGTGCGGCACCGGACAAGACAGGGATTGTCAAGATGTGTGGGTGGTGGACAGTTAACCCTTCCCCAGCTGCCCAAGACCCTGCTGGGGCCAGGCCCTGGGAAAGGCCCCAGGAAAGGCTCCCAGCCCTACCAAGTGGCAGGCTGATGCCTTCAGGAGCCCTTGGCCTGTGGTGGCCTGGGAATCACACCTGAGCAGACCTGGGGAGAGGGGCCCACACCCACCCGGTGGCCAGAGCAGAGCTCTGTCCTCTGAAGTGGGGGACAAGTTGTAGTGCAGGCAGTGGAGCTAAGGGTGACCCCAGTGAGTGGCTGTTGTGGTGACAGAATCCCGATGGTACTGTCTCAGGTCCACTGGCGCAGCTCTGCAGAAGCCCCCATAGGACGGGTCGTCAGGCCTCTGCCCCCTCTCTGCTTCTCACCGCCCTGGCCCTGGGGCTTGGGGACCTGGGGTGCTCTCCTGCTGCCTTGCCTCTCGATGTTACTCGACCCCGGCTTTCTCAAAAACAGGGAGGGCTGTGGGGGACACAACGGTGGGCACGGCCTTTGCCATTTCCCAGTGCAACTCCTCCTCCAGCGGGAACCCACAGCCGCCCCCGGAGACCCCCCTCCATAGGGAAGCAGCATTGTGATTGTGCCCTGTGTGTGTCACAGTGTGACTCTGGCCCGGGCGGCCCCAGGAAATCTTACTCTCTGGGGCCTCCGTTTTCCTGTGAGGCTGAGAATGTCTGAGGTGCCTTCCAGCTCTGGTGTCCCGTCATGGGGACGGTGACAATCCATGGCACTGCTGGAAAGCCCTTCTTTCCTGTGAGCTGCTGGTGACAGCAGGATGAGCATGTGCCCCAGTCCTTACCCAGGGTGGCAGAGGGCTCGCCGCTAACACCCGCGTGGGGCAGCCTGGCCCCGCTCCCTGGGCATCCAGGGTAAAACTGAGCAGCTGTCCTGTCCTGTGGACCTGGCTGGGCAGAGAGACAGTGGGCCTGCTGTCCACAGGGGTGCTGCTGGGAGTGACTTTCCCTGGGCAGTGGTGGGTAGGCCTCCAGCTGGTGCTCCCGGAAGTCCCCCAGAGAGCAGAGGGAGGCTGGGGTGCGTGTTGGAGTCTGAGGGTCAGGATGAGGCAGGAGAAGCGGGGCTGAGGGGTACCCGGAGTTAGCCCTGGTGCCAGGAGCCTGAGCGGGCCTGCTGGTGGCTGTGGGGCCAGCACACATTTCACTCTCACGTGACTCAGCGTGAGAGTGTGCTTTGGGTCCTGCCTCTGCGGCCTCCCCCTTCCTGTTCTCTGGTACTGGTATCCAGTCCCTTCCTGGGCTGGGTCAAAGGTTAGATTTTGATTTAGGCAGCAGGGAGCCCCTGGGGGGGCTGCAGCCAGGGGAGGTGGCTGCTGGGTAGAGAACCAGAGAGCCTGCGGGAGGGGCGGGAGGGGCCAGGAAGACACTGGCCGCTGAGGCAGAGGTACTGGGTGGTGGGCCTCCCGATGTCAGGCCCTGCACCAGGCACCAGAGACGCAGAATGGAACAGGATTCCCTGCTCCTGGGGTAAGCCCAAGGACAGGGCCGTGGAGCACGCGAAGGGGATCAGTGAGGGCAAACAGAGTCTGGCGCAGGGGGCAGGTGCGGACATGGGGCAAGCAGGTATCCTGCTCCAGTTCCTATCAGGTGACACAGGCCCATCAGCAGGGTGGGGGTGGGGGAGTGAGAGGGACCAGTACAAAGGCCCCGGGGCTGGGATGGGAGAGGGGCGCTGTTGGGTGGGAGACCCTCGGGACAGCTGGTGAGTTGACGGGGTGGGCAGGAACTCAGATCCAGGCAGCCTCCTGCGTTCCTAGATGGGGTGAGTGGCCCCTTCCCAGGCTGTGTCGGCTCCCCAGAGAAGCGGGAGCAGGGGACCTAAGTCCCTTCTTTGGGATGTGAGCTGGGATTCCCACCTCTGCCTGTCCTGCTCTCTACCCTTGGCTGCCGGGGCCCCAGAGCACCAGCCGGTTCAGTCAGCAGCCCTGCCTGCGGCCCTGAGGCCTCGGGCCAGTCGGCGAGGCTCTTCCCTGACCGTCTCTCTCTTTCTCTCTGACTGGGTTTGAACCCAGAGCTGCTCCACCACTGAGCTGCATCCTTAGCCCTTTTTATTCTGAGACAGGGTCTCAGTGTGTGGCTGGGGCTGGCCTCCACCTGGTCTCAGCTTCCCGGGGTTCTGGGATTCCAGGCTAGGGCACCGCCCAGGCCTGATGCTATCTTAGGAGACTGTGCCCTGTTTGTTTTCTGCTGGTGTTTTACGATACATTGTTACTAACAGTGGTGAGTTTACATTAGGGTGCGCTTTGAGCTGTTGGTGCCCATTCAATGGCATGTGTCATCCACCAGTGGAAGATCATTCAGGGCATGTCACCGTCCTGGAACGCCTTCCTGCTCCCCTGTTTCTCCCCTTCCTGCCCCACCCCAGACCCCTGGCCATCACTGATCTTTTTACCGTCTTCCTGTGTCCCTTAGTTGCAAGCGCGGCCTTTTCCGATTGCTTCTTTCTCTTGGTGGTGGGTGACCAGTTCCCCCAGGGCTTTCCAAGGCAGAAGAGTCCATTCTTTCTGCATGAACCAGATCCCTCGGTCTGATGTACTTCACCATCCTCTAGCACCCTGAAGGACATCTTGGTGGCTTGCTGGCTTGGGCGATTTTGAATAAAGTAGCTAGAGACATCTGTGTGCGGGGCAGTGTGTGGTTGCAAGTTTTCAACTCCTTTGGGTGAATCCCAAGGAGCACAGCGGCTGGATCAAGTGCTGAGAGCATGTTAAGATCTGTAAGCAACCACCAAGCCAGCTTCAAAGTGGCTGCGTCGTCTCCCCTCCTCGCGGCACCGCGGGTTTCTTTTGAAGAGCCCTGTTTTCTGGGTGTTTCTCCTCTGTGGATCACATCCACCTGCTCCTTAGGTGGGTTAAAAGGCAAAACCTAGGCAGGCCCTGTGGCACCCACCTGCAATCCCTGTTACTTGGGAGGCTGAGTCAGGAAGATGGCAAGTTCAAGGCTCACCTGGACAACTTAGAACCCATCTCAAAATAAAATTCAGAAAGGGCGCGGAGTGTAGCTCAGTGGTAGAGCACCGGCCTAGCCCGTGTGAGGCCCTGGGTTCAATCCCAAGTACTGCCAAAAAACAAACAAAACAAAACAAAAAAACCTGCCTCTGATAATTGTGGCCTATCTCGGGGTGCTGGCATGTTTGACCTGGCCAGGCATGAAGGGCCCGCGTGGGTCAATTCCTCATCCAGTTGGCCCCTGGTAGATTGCATGATTGTCCAAATATTTGCGCCCCACCCTGCCTCTGCGTCTCCTGCATGTTGCTATCAGGCCTGGCCACGTGACTTGCTCTGGCCATTGAAATGGGGTGGACGTGACACGTGGCTGCCAGCAGGAGCGGCCAAGGCCAGCCTTCTGCCATCTTATGTCTTTGCTTCAATACCAGCAAGATTCCAGATTGGGGGCTGCTGTTCTCCACCAGCAATAGGACTGCTGTAGCCACTGGAAGACCCTCTACCCTGGGGCTAGTCCCTGAGAAGTGATGGCTTGTTTGTTACGCAGCATGATATGAACAACGCTGACACAGGCAGTTTCTTTAAGGATCCCACTCACAGTTGAGAGGAAGGACAGCTGGGCCTGGTGGCATGACTGGGTCTTCTGGGTACTCCAACCATGTTTTGGGTGTGTTTCAGCAATCCCCCAAGGGGTCATGTGTTGGAAGCTAGGTCCCCGGTGCTTGAAGAGGTGGGGGCCTAGTAGGAAGTCTTTAGCAAACTGGGTGTGTTGTTGGAAGGGAGAGTCTGTCTCTAACTTTTGTGATGTGACCTTTCTCTCTTTCATGTGCTCCCATTGTTGTGATGCCATCCACCATGGGTCCTCTCCAGAGCTCTGCTGATGTCAGCCTCATGTCCTTGATCCTCCAGAACTGTGAGTTATAGAAACTTGTTTTCCTTATAAGGTTACCCAGCCTCAGGTATTTTGTCACAGTCACAGAATATCTAAGACACCGGTACATGTCTAGAAATTATGCTGACACTCCCAAGAGCTGCGTGTCAGGGTCCTGCAGGTGCTACCTCTAGCCTGGCACTTTAAGGGGCTGGAGGCTGAATGTTTGCACTTGACAGTGTGTGAGCCCAGTGTCCTCTCTGGTCACTGTTTGTTCTGCATAATGTTTGTATGTGCTTTTAAAGTGTCCAATAACTGATCTAATTTTTTCTTTGTACAGGAAGGAAATTATCCTGGTTTGGAAAAGGGTCAACATTTCAGAGGCTGAGCTGTTTGCCCCACAATTTGGCATGCTTTAGAAATCTCATTCATTCTGGAAATTAAGTGCTATGCTATTTGA